GTCGTAGTCGTAGTCGTACTCGTACTCGTACTCGTCGTAGTAGTAGTAGTAGTAGTAGTAGTAGTAGTAGTAGTAGTGGTAGTAGTAGTAGTAGTAGTAGTAGAAATAATAATAAGTAGTAGTAGTAGTAGTAGTAGTAGTAGTAGTAATAGTAGTAGTAGTAGTAGTAGTAGTAGAAGAAAGAGCAGGAGGAAGAGGCGTAGGAATAGGAGCAGGAGTAGGCGTAGTAGTTGTCGTCGTCGTAGTGGAGGCCAAGTCCGGTTCTGCCAACCCACAGACTCTTCCCAGTCAAAGGAACATTCTACTCGTAGTAACTTTCGTGCGGCAAAGACATCTCGAAATCTCGCCTCCTTCCATGCCTTGCTGCAGGCTTGCTTGAACCAGAAATTCACATGGGTAGTTGTCAAAATTATGGTCCCTTTTGGGGTACCCTAAATAGTCGGTGCCGTATTATAATAAGGACCCAAAAAGGGACCATAATTTTGACAACCACCCACATGTAGGGCGCCAAACTGTGACCTGTGTGGCCAAGGCAGGCACTGTGGTGGGAGGTGCCATTGGTATCATCCCAGCCCTGCTCCTCGACGCTCGAAGCTTTTCTGAGTGGTGCACATATCAGAGTTTTCAGAAAGTAGGCGACCTGAGTAGGATCCAAGATCAAGAAACCAGTTGATTTCGTATATAGGTGTATTGTTACCGGCAACAAGAAGCCTGGACCCTGTGGTGTCACTGATGTTCTTTCCAGGTTCACTTTCGGCCTTTCCATCCCGCTGGGCGCGGCCATCGGTGGCGGTGCAGGCAGCTCTTGGTTTGGGATTTCGACTGCCAAGAGTTTGCGGCTTTAAGGCGATGGTTAGTGGATAATCATCAAGCTGGTCTTAGCTAGGTTAGAACATGGACTTCGCAGGCCTCGCCGTCGGTGCGGCTGCAGGCGCCACAGCTGGCGCTGTCAGCGGCGGCGCTGCTGGCGGCTTGGACCTGGAACGAGAAAACTGGACGTGCTTGAGGCAGCCATAGGTCCATAGGTCCTATGCCATATGTCGTGTGTTGGAGGTTGGTCCGTGCTGTCTTTGATGTTCTCGATCTCTTTTTGTCTTGGACCAGAGGTTCCGGTTGTGAAAGGGCTTCCAGGAGACGACTTCCAAAGTAGTCCTGCGATTTGGCAACTTGTATGATGATCCAGGGAACGTGAGCTAGTTGCCCGAACTCTCAATCCCTCAACCGGCAATGCCCGAACCTTGACACTGTCAATGTGTTACAAGCTTGCAAGCCGCGGGGGCTCGCTGTCCCCTCGGGTCACAGGACTTAGGACGCACCTTAAGAAATGTGGGGTTATAAGATGTTATAAGTTGAGGCGCCGCATTGCGAGGTCGTTTTTTCCCACCGCTTACCAAGTCCACCGAACCTCCAAGCCTCCAAGTCCAAGTACCTAAGTTTGAGGCTACGGCGCCTACGCCAAGCGCGGGCAGCTCCATGACCAGCACGAGGGCAGATTTCCCCAGACAGCCTAGAATTCGTGAATTTCGCAACCCAGAATAGGATCCCTTTAATTGTTGGACTGCGATAGGATGCCCTGAGAGTTGTAGTGGGATAGGATCCCTTTATAAACATATAAAATGTAATGGGGTCCCTTTATAGTTGTAATAGAATAGGATCCCGTTAGAGTTGTGATGGAATAGGATCCCTCTATGGTTTAACGACCATCCCTCATTTACAACCCGAAGCCCGAAGCAGCAAGCGGAGGGCCACACGTCCCTTGAAGTCCATGTCAAGATCCGCTGCTCACCATCATGATGCGAGCGTGAGTCGAGAGCGGGCATGGGTCGAGCTCGTAACATGACACGTGCTCCTCCTGACAGTCCGCGACACGCGCTTCCGACGCATACGCCAACGTCGTCATGGTCGTGATCATCTTTACGCAAGCATAGCCAGCAACCGACATCGAGGCATCCTGCGTGCTCAGTGTACTCAAGAGCGCTCATGCTCAGGATCAGCGAGTTCCGACAGAGCACCATGAACAAGGCCTTCGAGTTCCGGCAGGGCACCGTGCACAAGGCCATTCACGCTTTGGCGTGTGCATTTATTCAGCAACGCGTTGACATGTAGGACAAGGGCAGTCGTCGCTGGTAGTTTGTTCCGCTCCATGATGTCAGCATCCGTTCAGCAAGTCTGCACACTCCCGGGTGTTAGACGCAGCAAGAATCGGACTGTAGGAATGAGAGTGCAAGTCTTGGACAGCAGACGGGAAGGTTTCCAGCAGTGTGGATGTCGTGAAAGGCAAGGCAGTCGCGTCTGCGCACCTTGGTCAGCAAACGCAAGTATACCGGTTGAGACTAGATGAAGAATTCCCCCTCTCCAACAGTGCAACAACCTGAGCCCACCTCAAACTAGAAACCCTCAACACCCTAAGCCCCCAACCTTTGCGCCCTGAGACCCCAAAGTTCTAGACTTCCAAACGGCAATTCCGAGACCCTAAACCCCGAATCTCCCAACCCCTAAATCGCCGAAATTCCTTGGTCTAGAGCCCAACACGTCGGTTGTTTTGAGGCAGTTCCTCAAGGACAAGGCCGCCGAGGTGCTTTCGACGCCTGGTGTGTCACCCTAAACCGTGCAGTCTGAGAAATTGTGGGTTTAGTTTTTAGGGTGTAGGGTTCTGAACCTTAAAACCCTGCCGCCCGATTGAGCCCTAAAAGTCCGCGAAGTGCACCCGCGATTGGGTGTCAGAGTACTTACTGACACCCTTCCTTAAGGCTTCGTTGATATGCTTATATAACAATCCTTGACACGTCCCCCACTCAGTGACCTTCAGATACGGTTTGTTTAACATATATATATACATATACAAATGTACGAGGCTCTTAATAGTACCCTTGTTAGAGAGTGGGCAAAAATGTTGGGGAGAAAATCTCATAGGACCTTGATTGTTACAGATTCTTAAACCCTAAACCCAACAAGCCCTGTGAATTATCAACTTGTGGGTATGTTTGGGTCATTACTTTGGTGAATGGTTGGCTTGGTGGGTTTGTGTTCTTGAGATGGTGGCTAGTCTCTTGGTCTCAGGTTTACCACCTCAGCCTACAAGGCGTTCTAACTGGAGTGGCAGGCAGAAAAGAGGTCCCCCCCCCAACCCTAAACCCTAAACCCTAAACCCTAAACCCTAAACCCCTAAACCCCTAAACCCCTAAACCCCTAAACCCTAAACCCTAAACCGGGGGGCAACAAAGCCAAAACCTGGAGGCTCGCATGCGCCTCTCCGGAGCCGCCAAGGCAAAAGCTGCCTGAAGCCACCAGCAACCCAGCAACCTGTCTTATAAGTATCTTCGGTATACGAGTAGATAAACAACTGATTTATTCAGATAGATAGATACTATCTATATATATATATTTTACCATATATATATATACATATATATAAATATATGTATATATATATATATATATATTTATATGTGTGTGTGTACATATATAGGATCTATAAAAACAGACCAGCAACCTGGTATGAGGAATTGGTGGTTTACATATCTCTTCTCGTGCTCAGGAGGCCTATGGGCGGTATTCGGGCTCTAAACCTGATGTTGGGGACAGGCCTGTACACAACATGAAAGGGTTTCGTGCTGAATGCCACCCGCGACTATCTCAGACCATGAACCCCACGTAGTGTTCGGCAATGAGGCACATGCTTGATAGCGCCTCATTGAAGAGGAGGCTGGCTGAGGGTACCGACCGTGCTCAAGACAAGATGCCCCCGACATGGCTTCCTTAATTAGTATCATGACCGACATCTCATTGCTGTAATTTGGACAACGTGCTTTCTTACCGCGAATGATAACTAACTTGCTTGGCTGCTGTGTCATTCATATGTATAGCTTCTTATATTGCTGTGCTCTCAATTCCCTATCATTCGCGTGTATAGCTTCCGGTTCGTCACTGTTCGTTATTCCCAATTCTGAAGTCTTATTCCCAGCTGTCCGTATCGGTCTCATTCGCAACTTTCCCGCCTTTTTCATGTGGCCCAACTTTTAGGTACGTATCTACTGAATTTCGTGCAATTGCTAAAAACAGTATCAGTAGTGCCGTTCATACATGCAGGTAACCAGCAGCACTAGAAGGCGGTTGACATAATTCATGGTTTTCCCACCCTGAAGGTTTGATTCTTGGATAATAGCGACCTTGGTAAGTAGTGAGTAGTGTATGATGGTTGCCAGAACCTCTAGTTCCCCATGTCCACGTGTTGCCCATGTGGGTTATGTTGGTCCTTTCACAGAGTGTATTTGCAGGCTGCCAGTCAGCGATGGCTAAGACAACTTGTAGACGCTGCTCTTCTGACATGTGCAAAAGACATCGAAGCGATACTGCTTTCTGCCAGCAGAAAGCAGGATGTCAAACTTTCCCATGAGAAGCCCACACACCTAGACCGCTCCGGGGCTGGATGTCACGTCATTCTGCACCACTGAAGCCCCTGTATGTATGCCAAAGTTTTGGACCCTCCTCCGTGCTTCATGTGCCGAACTGGTCGTCTACTTCACCATGGATCCCAAACATTCCTAGATCCAAAGCCTTGAATCCGAGACCCCAAACCCAGTGCTTTGAATCCTGGAGCGTGCAGGAGCTGCCCAGGCAGGAGGTCTTTGCAGCTCTTCTGAGAGCTCCCGAGCGCGCTTGGGCTATCTGGAGAGGAGCACAAGGGGGGGCAGCGGTGGCGGTGGGTCCAGCTGTCTCCCATTGCTCATGATCGCAGGAATAGTGCGAATAGTAATTACAACAAGAATAGCCAATAACAACAATAATAACAGTATACACAATAATAACAAGCATAGAAAAAGTACTGCTCATAGCAATAATCATTGAAATACTAGTAAGTATCAATATTATTGCTCTTCGAGAAATAGTAATCAAACCAATCCGTAGCCGAACCGTTGCCACAGTAGTGACATGCGCAGTTCACCACAACCTGAGGTCGTGAGCTGGGTTTTTGTGCATGGCTTGAAGATACTGCGAATTGTCAATAGGTGCATTTGCTCATTCGTCAGATCCGTGATCTTTGTTGGCCATGCATATCGATGTCTGTTTGTATATATATATATATAGATACACACAGACACACACACACACACACTTGTATGCATTTCCCTGTTGCATATATTTATATTTATACACACACACACACATACATACATACATACATACATACATACATAAATAAATGAATAAATATGTATATATATATATATGCTATACATGATTGTGCATGTGCATGTCTCCGTATGATTGCATCTGCTTGTATGTGTACACACGTGTCCATAGGCGTATTCATGCGTCTTTATCTGTATCGTCGTATGAGCTTCTTGACATCCGAAGTTTGCCGGGCGTAGGCCTTTGTATTTGAGTGCTCAGGCGCGGTTCCGGGTAGCTCGCCCCATTTTCCATTTTGCATTCCCCGCCGACGGGCGAGCCCACATGGGACAGGTTAGGACCGTCTCATGGGGACTTTGCACCGTGCAGGCCAATTAGCTGACATTAGTCCTGTGCGCATGCAGCCTTGTTTCGCCAGAGCTTCATTAAGGTTCCACTAGACCCCCCCCAGGCGTGTCAAGCCTGTTGCTGGCTGCGTGTGCTCAGGGAAGCGCGGAGATCACCCGCTTGCTCAGAGCACATCTTTTTCGCCCCGACTGCAGGTTTCCATTCGCTCAATTCGCAACTTTGGGTGTTCTGCCAGCGGCGTAGGACCTTGTACAGTAGTACAGCAGCAGTATCCCGATAGTACAAGGGCGAAATGACCGAAACCTAGGTTCGAAGATCGTCGCGTCCTTGCCAAGCAGAAACACCCGTGGGGCTTGTTTTGCCAAACCTCTGCACAGTGCTCGGACGGGCGAGAGGCATGTGGCACTCCTCGGCACGAATCTTCGCATTGCTGCACAGAGTCGAAGCGCGACAAATATGTCTTCAACACAGCCACCCTCAACTGTAAAAGCGATGCCGCGCATCAGGCTGGTATAAAATAGCAAAGCAAATGGAACCAGTACTAATGTGCTGCCAGTATAATGTGCCAAGAGCAACTTTCTTATTTGCTTCCGGTAGCTGTACACTCTTTGCTGTGGTGTTCCTGCAAGATACTTTCCGGAGTTCGAAACGCCCGTGGATACTTGCTTCGCCCAGAGAACTTCTTATACGTAGTCATCTCAACTCTCCTCTTCCCTGGGACCCGAAACTCGAGACATCTCGAGACATCTCGAATCTAGGATTTGGGACTCCAGAGTTGTTTTGCTTCAATCCAGGCCCAAAGCTTCTCATTCTGCCTCGGACAAGACACTTCGAAAGTCCAGGCCCTCAAAGCCGCATTCGGGAAACTCCCTGGAGAAACCTTGAAGGTCATCAGAGAAAACATCTCGTCTCCAAACTCTTTCGAGATCCCCCTAAGCTGCAATGGTCCTATGCAAAAGGTTCACACTCCTGGCCTTGCGGTACCCCGCATGACCATGCCCGAGGAGATTAATTTGGGTGGTTTGGGACTTTTGGAGTTAGGGATACTTATTATCTGCTGGATCTTTATCGGGCTCCAGGGTAATTGTTACGAGTGGGACACAGATTGTTTGAGTCTCCAGCGTCCGCGGACCACAGCCGCATCGATCCTACGACTCAAAGCCACATGAGTTGAGGCTGCTCAAGCCGTAGTCGTAGCGTAGCCTCAAGCATTCCCGCTCCAGACCAAGGCCCAGGGCATGCATCTTACAGGATTTGGAGGCGTGAGTGGTCAATGATGTGATACCTATCTTGAAGTGTTTGTCTCCGGGTCCTTCAGGATGTAGGTTTCGGATGCCTCAACCCCCAACCCCAGCACCGATGGGTATGACCTGCCTTAGGCACCAAACCCAAAGCATCTGCAGCCGGGGCCTTCAAAATTTCTGCCCACCGCCAGACCCTTCCAACTCCTTCCCTTAAGCCGTAGAGCCTAAATCCCAAGGCCCTAAAACCCAAAGCGCTAAAACCTCTAAAGTGTCCTGTGCCCCAGCGGTCCTAAAGTCAAGCCCCGCGAAGAGCTCTTCCAGGAAGGGATCTCCTATAGCCCTGAAGCCCTAAACCTTAAACCCCTAAGCCCCAACCCCCAGATCCTAAACCACGAATGTAAGGGCTTAAAGAATTACCAATCCTATTTGGGGGCTCCTTATTATAATTGTAGTATAATGGGCCCCAAGACCTTATTCTAATTCTTAAGGCCGCTATATTAAACCCCTAAACCCTGTTCAAAGAGGAGCTAAGCCCCAAACCCTAAACCTTATATTTAAATTCCTACTAAACCCTGTTCAAAGAGGAGCTGGCGAAGCTCCTTGGGGCTTGGGCCGCGAAGCTCGTTGCCTCGCCGGACTCTTCGGAGCTCGAGGCCTCGAAACTCTCAGTGGCCTTAATGTAGGGGCCTTATAGTAATTAGAATAGGCTTTTGGGGCCCATTATATTGTAATACTTATACTAAGGAGCCCCTTTGATGATATAAATCCTGCACTACCCATCATAAGGTAAGGTAATGCAGGATTTATATCATCAACCGTATCATCGGCCTTTGCATTCTGGGAGTAGAATTCCACTTAGTGTTGGCAACTCTGCCGGTAGATATGTATATCATCATCACTATTGTTCGTGTTGTCGTCGTTTGAGTCTTGATTGTTGTTGTTCATTGTTACCATTGCTACTGTATTTCCTTTACGCGCATGGGCCGTCTTCCTGTAATTACTTGCATCGGCTGGCTCAAGGCCATCATTTTCGCGAAGGTAACCACGACGACTGTTGCGGCGGCACACGGGCAAGGTGATTATTCTGATAGCAGGAGCTGACATCCACAGCGTAGCGCGTTGGCTTTACACTCCCCCACAAGCCCCTAAGCCAACACGGTCGGACCGGAGACACAGTCGCCCATCAACACGCCGTGACATGAGGTTTTGTCACCTCCAAACCCCCCAAGAGCCGCATGTCAGCATACAGTGTCGACCAGGCTGAAACCCCGGCTTAGCAGGTAAAACAAATCCGCAGCCTTATGTGCACTGTTACAGCATAAGCTCTCCGGAGGGTATATCGAATCAGGACACCCTCCCATCGCTGGGGTCCAGGTCCCACTGCTTCCAAAGGTACAAAGGACCAGCTTACCTGGGCACACCTTCGAGCCTCAACATCCTACCCCGGACCTAGCCCCAATAGGTAAGCTATACCAAAATCACTTCAACACTGCGCCGTCCTCTTCCCTGCGGTTGTTGCAGGGCCCCTCCCCGTTGGCGGCCAAAGGTGAGGCTGTG